AGGAGTAGGAACTCGGTGGTTTTTAGTGAGTAAGAGTCTGACACTCTCTCTCGCTTCGCCCAAGATGGGAGAGATACCATTAGATGATTTACCCCCCTCAAAAAGCGAGGTACGGGGTATTAGTCGCTTTGACGTTCAACCTATCTGGAAGTCATTTGGGAGGCCTTAGCGGCTTATTGAAGACAGGAGAAGTCATTCCATCGAATCCTTCTCCTGTCCATTCTTAAAAAAAGTGGCTTATTCTGGCTGATATGATGATGACACTGTTTTGCTTACCAATAGAACAGTCGCCGGGTATGTAAGGTTCTGAGTTTTCACCACAGAGCCTCTTCACTCGGGTAGCACCCCACCCCCAGGGATAGAGGAGCAGACCTAGTACTCCAAAGAGACCTGAAATAGTGAAGTTTTTATTAATTAAAATTAATCCACATACATAGTTCTGAAACAACAAGAAATAATGGGAATGAAACGAAACTGATTAGTTTTCTAGCTTTTGATTTATTTTTGACAATTCTAATACTGAACAATGGGGATGATGACAGGGTATGAAAATTAAAAATATAATTAGTCCGTAACTTAGGTAATAAAAAAATATTAGACACGTATTTTTTTATTTTGTTGTATAATAAAACAATACTTAGATAAAACGAATCAAAGTTTAGGAGTGGGGGCTAAAACGTCATTTCTTAGTATAAAATGTACTGAGAAGTGACGTCACGCGACATTTCAAATCAATATATCTTCGAAACTATTCGTTTCCGTAAGAAAATAAAAAAATACGTGTCTAATGTTTTTAAATAATCTACCAGACGGACATTAAAATAAAAATTAGTCGTCTACCCTATTCTCATACTGAACAATTATTTTTGTGTTCCAAAGATTAATTATTGTTTCAAGTCTGTGTGTGATGTGTATAAGAAATTGTATGTTAAAAATAAAGACAAACCGACAATACATTTCTACAGTAGAATAAAAACTAAATATTTTCCAAATGTACACACGGCTACACATCAAGCTTTACATAACCAGTATAAACTGAACGTTAAATGTGCGGAAAGATGATGCGACGCGACACCAGGATAAACTGGTTTTGTATAGGTTGGTTCTGTTTACATTTTTTTATGGCATAAGCCGGTAAACGAGCAGACGGATCACCTGATGTTAAGCAATCGCCGTCGCCCATGGACACCTGGAACACAAAGGCGCTACAAGTGCGTTACCGGCCTTTTGGTAATTGGGAATTTGAGGATTGTGGACGATTCGGAAGACTAGTAATTGGATCATCGTCGTACGGAGGTAAATAGTGTAAACTAGCTTCTACCCGCGACTTCGTACGCGTAATCCCATTTTTTCCCGTTCCCGTTCGTGATTTTCGGTAAAAAGTAAAAAATAAGTATTGGTTAAAAAGCATCCTATGTCGGTTTCCTGGCTCTAAGCTACCTCCCTACCAATTTTCAGCCAAATCTATTCTGCCTTTCTTGAGTTATAATTGGTGTAACTAACACGACTTTCTTTTATATATATAGATAATATTGCGTCTCTCCACAATTAATTTTAGCTTGAAAAAATCACTTAATAACAATTTTACGCACCTCCCAGAGCTTGAGTGGCTCCGGCCAATGAAATAACACTTTTCTTGAACACAGATTGGACACAACAGGCCATGACACCGGCTAAAACTGTTGCGAATTGTATGGCTGCACCTGCAAATATAATATTACATTATTGATATTGCATACAAAAACTTATGCGTTCCTTCCTGGGGGTGAAAAGGTATTATATTATATATTATAACACGCTAATTACTCACAGTCTATATTTATGTATGTATGTATGTATGTATTTATGTATGTATGTAAGTATATATGTATATGTGTATGAATGCATTCATGTGTATTGTGTTGTACTCGTGTGTAGGTATATATATTATAATTATGTTTAAGTATTTATGTTTATCTCTGAAATATGTAAGTGTATCTATTTTATTTGCTCTATTAAATAATTGCTTGCTTCTTGCTCACACCATTAACTCTTCTCTGCATCACCCAAAGGTCAGACTGGGAGAGAATGCCTGCGGCATTAAGTCCACCTTATGTACATTTTGTGCATGAAGCTTTAAATAAATAAATAAATAAATATAAGTGCCACATAGTATGGGCGTTACACACTACTTAAATTGTATCAAAGTCTTCTTGCTTCACGAGGTCCAGGAGGCAGAGATGCTCATGAGGAAGAACCCCTCTGTGGTTCGAAACTAGTAGAGCTTTTCTCAGTATATTCACGTGAGTAACCCGCGATTTTAGTTAATTTAGTATGTCTCACGATAGTTATTATACAAATAAATACTATTTAATCGTTATACCATTTGGGAATAAATGAACAAAACAATTAACTATAGAATACAATCGGCGAAGCGTCACTCGTTCATGGTAGATGTCTCACCCACACGCACGACGCTTTGCATCTAGCTTCTTTGCGCGTACTGCTAAGGAGTGGAATTCTTTGCCAGAGTCTCTGTTTGCTGAATGGTATAACCTAGGTTGTTTATAAGCAGACGTGCTCCATCGTAGGCCGCATCATCGTTTACCAACAGGCGAGATAGTGGCCAAGCATCGGCCCATTAAATATAAAAAACAATACCTAATGCATTTATTTATTCCGCAAGTATAAATTCTATATTTGTCATTTAATCAGACCCACAGAGGACAGCATAAATAAAAATACCTAAAAACAGTCAACCAACTTAATTTGTATGCAGCTTGGAAAATAAAAACCAATCCAGTACAAACAGTAGCTATTTTTGTTATACTAGTAGCTAAACAATAGTTACTGTCTGTGCACCGAATCAATCTACATTATATTCTTACCTGCATACCAATTAAGATGGCTGACCGTACATAGTCCTTACTAATATTATTAATCGGAAAGTGAGTTTGTTTGTTTGTTTGTTCCGCTTTCACGCTGTAACTACTAAACCGATTGCTTTGAATTTTTGCAGACGTAAGGTTAGAAGTCCGGATTAAATAATAGGGTACTTTTTATCCTTTTGGTGACGGAAAATTTTGATATTGCCGAGGGAAAACAAAAGTATTGGAATAGATGGCGCTGTGTGGATTGGTATATATCACAGGCTACTTTTTATCTTTTTGTGACGCGAGCGAAGCCGCGGGTAAAATCTAGTATGTTATAAATATCCTCAGAGAATTAATGAATGGATTTTCTGAGGACTTATTATACAAGGAAGATCTTAATTTAGGTACATGAATACTTAAACAAAGAAATAAATAAACCATTGAGGAAAACTTTACAAAAATAGGTACAAGATGAGAAATAACATTCCATAGAATATTGTAATTCCCTTTTTTAGAAAAAACGTTGCCCCACAATAGAATTTTCTCCTGTATTGTGGATGCGTTTACAAACATACAAGTTCACATTCACATGACACTCAGACCTGGAACAACAATCTGTGGATCACAGAAAGAGTTGTTCCGTTCAAGAATCAAACCCTCTATGTTGCCCAGCAGCCAGTTGCCCAACCACCGTGCCAATCATGCAGTTAAACACACACACACACCACTTCACAGCATACCAATGTGAAACAATGCTTGCATTGTGTTTCATAATGTGAGTGAGGTTACTGGAGGCCCAATTACTAATAATACTTTTGATATGACAAACATGCGTTTAATATTGACTTCCTATCAGGTGATATATAAACTTGCCTTCTTCTTCAGGGATAAAAAAGTTAGGTTTGTAGGTATATTATGTTAATACTTACATAGAGATAAAAAGAACATAGATGCCTTCCATGGAGTCGGGTATACTTCAGCATCGGTAGCAAGTCCATAGAACGAGAATGATGCGCAGTTGTTATGATCATTTCTCATGCGGATACATCTAAAAATAATATGTTTGTCTTGAAACATTTATTTTAGATTTCCAGATTCTCGTTATTCAACACCTTCTTCATCATCAACAGCCTGCAAATATCCCACTGCTGAGCAAAGGCTTCTTCTCATTTTAAGTAGCGAGCATTAATCACCACGCTTGCTCAAGGCGGATTGGTGATATCAAACTAATGATTTTGAAATTATAAATTTCGAAATTACCCACAATATTTACCTTCACCATGACTATGTTAGTAGTGTTTAAATATTCTAAGAAAGTCATTATGATTGGATTTGCGTTTTTAGTCACATGGGTACTTGTGACTTTAGTCCATGACACTTGTAAGTTGTATTGAACTTAAAAATAAACATTAGTAAACAAAATACTGTAATGCAATATGTAGATTAACCTCTTGTATGTCGGTATTTAAGACACAATAGAAAACGCATTGTCTCGCGTAGATCTACGCTGCGATATACCAGAGGTAAAGTTAGTTATTTACAAAAAAAAAGGTTTCAATTAAGTTAATTTGCTTAGATAATATATCAAATTATGTCTAACTTTGAAAATTATTATTTAAATATTATTTGAAATATACTATTGCTAAAAGTTATTTACAATTTTGTTAATATTTTTTTTCAACTCACCTATTGTAAATACCGACGCTCGGAGCATAAAACTTTGTAACATTATTATCATTGAGGACCACAGGCTGACCCATTAACCATTTAGGAGTCATTATACCAGTCAATATCAACATAAAAGCTGCAAGACTTAACAAAAGCCATGCTAAACTTCTACCCGTAACTATAACATAACACATGGTTAAAACTTTGTTCTTTCTCTATGTGCAGCCGCCAATATTAGTTTAAAGTTCACTGATAATTGTTTCCTGTTCTCAATAGAGCTTATTGAATGATAAAATTTGTAAAATAGAATCGCAAGCAACTTCCTAAACAGAATTTGACATCTCAATACTAAATACTTCAATCAAGTCAAGCAAGCAGGGTTGCCAAAGCTAATTCACCAAAATCCCCAAAAATCCTGATTTCCCCAAATTTGGGGATAAAAATCCGCTGTTTCCCCACAAATTCCCCACAAAAGTTTTTTTTATAAAATGATACTATAATCAATGAGTTAAATAATATTTAGTTTTAATATTTTATATTTGTTTCCATATATTTGTTCGAAGGGTTAAACTTGACAATGTCGTCCAGTTTTTTAATCCCTTGCAATCTATTGCGATTTTCATTTTTTAAATTTTTAAGGAGACTAAATTTGCGCTCGACTTCTCGACGACTCGATGCATTTGATAAAGGCAATACCAGCAATAATGAAATAACAATTTTTATGTTTGAGAACAGGTATTCTCCCAATAATGAAATAACAATTTTTATGTTTGAGAACAGGTATTCTCCCGCAGCGTTTTTCAGGCAAAACAATAGCCGCACGAGGTACAATTTCATCTTTTTTCAAATCTTCCATACTTTCAACTTAAGGACCTTCATACTTTATGATTCAAAAAATGTTGTCATCGATAATAAACGATGAAACATTTTCCGATGAGAATATGAAGTCAAAATCCCCACATTTTCCCCACATAATGCCAATCCCCAATAAATCCCCAACCAACTTGAAATTCCCCGCAGTTTGGGGAATTCCCCAAAGATTGGCAACCCTGCAAGCAAGTCAAATTCGTCCTTCTAAGTTTTAACCATAGACGATCATTTTTGCATCTTTTCTTTATGGGTATGTTTAACACACGGGTTTATTGATTTTTAATAATCAAATCAAAATTAAACTTTTTGAATAACATTGTAATGTAAAATTATAACCGTAGTTTTCGACCAACTTCATTAAATAGTAAATTACTAAATAGTATCTAAATATTTTTCAGAATATTAATTTTATAACAGACACTTTATTAATTTTATAAGAGCAGCCAATCGCCCACATACATATACCAATAAAATACTTATTACATTAAATAAATATAATATTTAATATTAAATGAATAGAATATTCAATATGTAATTTAAAGACGACTTGCAATAACTATTTTGAATTTGACCACACACTGAACGCATCCATAAGACGAATACCAAAGCGCCATCTCTACTGTTTCAAGTCAAAAATAAAAAAGGTTTTGTTCTCTCTTCCTCCTTGTTGTTTCTTTTCAATAAAAGTGCGAGAAAGAAATGGTTAATTTAACGAGGGCCAATTATTTTCTGTATTGAATTTTGTAAATCAAATTGTGATCTGAAAAGTGTACAACGGTACGTTACATTGTGTCGCGATAATTTCAAGTGAAATGTGGTCGATGACAGCGTGAAAACGATTGCTACGTAAGTATAATCCGATCAAATATTATGCCTTCATAGTGCTGTATCATTTCTATAGATTTTATAGTGAAGCTTATTTTGTAGTATTATAAAAATACCTGTCAGTCAATTGTCAGGTACAGATGTGTACTTACCTGTGTATTGTCAAGCAAAGAAATCAGTCGTAATTGAACAATTTATTTTATTTAAATCGTTTATTTTATGATTATTTAGTGTTAAATACAGTGCCATGAAGTGTGTCTGTGAATCTGTGAAGGTACGTTGAAAGTGTTAGCTTGTGGGGTATTGTAAAAAAACATGTTTTCATCTGCCCTTGTTTAGGTTGCAAAATCTCGATTCCTTTGTCATGTGCATATTCACTTTTACTTTTTCTGGCGAAGATTGCACAGAACCGTTTGACGTATAGCAAATTCCCGCTATTTTATTACGTTTTTTTTTCATGTTAGAAAGTGGGTACGTCTGTCGTATGGGGTATTATTTTATGTAAATAACTCGTTCCAGTTGAACAAGCAGTTACTGTTCAGTGAGTTTTGTTTAAAAATGCAGTTATACTTGATTGTTATCCTCTTGACATAGTTTTTTTGCTGTTATGTTAAAACTGTTAGAAAAAGTGGTGCATGTAACAGATGTAAAACAGCTGCATATGCAGGCAAAGGAACTTTCGTATGATGCCTAATACGTCATTTACGGTTGTGCTAAAACCTCTTTGCATCAGATTTCCTTTCTATCATAGCCTTTTCAATGTACATCTTATTGCTTACAAGCATTTACCTACATTTTATATATGTATAATCATGCTTGTATTTAAAACAATAAGAATAACATTGCTGGGCTTGTATTGTTTAATACAACTGGCTTTATACATGATATTGCATTGTGGATAATACAAGTATGTATAATGTTCATAAGATGCAATCATTGACATAATTAATAACCTTACTAGTTTCTTAGACCTCTTTCTATTTTCTAAGCTTTCTCATTCAAATCCTAGTAGTTTCTATTGTCAATGTACTTACATATTGTAATTTCTTAAAGTAAGTTCATTTTGTTTCATAACTGCATGAAGGATATTATTTTTATTTATTTATAATGATTTGTCTTACAAATGCTTAATAGTTATCTTAGTTCAATGTGTTTCTTTCTATTGTACTCTTCATTGAGAAACTAAGGCAGTTACTATTATACTTATCATTTACAAACAGCTTGTGTTCTCTTCTAGACTATGGGCCTCATTTACAAGAGGTGAATTGGAGGTTTGTCACAGAGTGGTACTGCTGGGTCTCTATCAAATATGTATTCCCTTAGCTAGTCATTATGCACTTATAGTGCAAATCACCTACATATATATTTCTACATTTTTCTACCGACTTCTAAAAAAGGAGGTTCGCAGTTTGACCTGAATGTATTTAATTATGTATGAATGTATGTTTGTGATGTGGTTTTCAGAAAAGTGTATTTTACATAAAGGCTTTAGTATATTTATTAACAGACTTCAAAAAAAAGAGGTTGAAGTCTGTTTTTTTAAAAATAGTCTAGGAAAGAATTATTCTGACACTCTTTCACTTCATTGATACACCATGAAGGAGGTTCTTAGTTCCCACGTACATTTCTTTTGAATCCACCAGGTATTTAGTGTCTTTTCAGAACAGAGTACAGAATTAGTTATGGCTGGTATGCGCACATCTGTCTACCCATTAGTGTAAGACATAACATTATGTTATGTTATGCTTTTTTTTATGTTTATAGAAGCCATATTGCTTACATCAACTGCCTAGTCATGTTTAATTACCTACTAATCTATCACTTTCTATACTGCAGCGCCTTGTAACACTTTCCCTGTGTCTATTGCATATCTGTGAATGAGTAATATAACTTAGTTTATTGTATGTTATGTGTGGTATTAGGTGCTGTACATACTTGCTCCCTCCACCCATATGGGTTTAATTGCATGCTCTGCGGACCATGGCAATTTAAAATATACATTTGTCATAATATCTGCATGAAATGTCTCTTAAAGTACTAGGTTATAAGGGTATTTGTATCAAATTAATTTGATTTAAGAGAGATTTTGTTAAACGTTTTTTTTTTTAAGATGTTGCCACACACTCAGATTATCTCCTGTGTTGTACGTGATTAGATTGTAAAGGCTACTAATATTAACAATTTTGAAATATTTCTGTAGAAAACCAACTTAACTGATCAATCCCCAAGTGGTCACCGGTGACTACTCTCCACTTACTCCTTTACAGACCTTATTTCCTAATTTTGTATGATTTTGTGGATTTTTCATAATCGGGAGATTCAGAAGTTAAAAGTACTTTGCATATTCTTGGAAATGTAAATATCACTGTCAAAATCTGGATAAATCTTTTATATTAGGAAGAAGTAGGTACCTATACTTTCCAAGAGATTTTCTTGTTTAAACTGTCAAACACCAAGCGGTCACCGGTGACCGCAACCTATTGTTCTATAATTGTGTCTATAATGACGGTACTCAACGAGTTAAATTAATTAAGTTACAACTATAAATTTTAGACTTTCTTACACATCTTTTAATTTATTTATTTGTAACAAAATCAATAGAAATAATGCACATATGCACTGAATCACCTTAGCCTACTTTACTACATGTGGGTTGGGCTCCCCACCCAGTAACTGGTTGACAATTAGTATTAGACATCTGTAGAAGCCCTGAGTACTCCCACTTGTTTAAAAGCAGTTACAATTACAAAGATACTCAATTAGGAAACCTTCAAATTAAACTGTCAAACACCAAGCGGTCACCGGTGACCGCAACCTATTGTTCTATGATTGTGTCTACAAAACCGGTACTCGACGAGTTAATATGATAAAGTCATTTATGCTATGGGCTGTGTAGTAATGGCAGAGAATAATACAACTTATCATCACTGCTCTTGCCGAGGGTGTTAGAGCCAAGTAAAGGATTACATTATTTAATTGATAGAGATTAGCAGTAATTTTTTTGTTCTCTTATAATATAGCTTCTGATTTATTTCAATATGGAACATCACAGTTATATTCTGGTCCCAGAGATGTGCACAACTTCAGTATTCTGGTATTTTCATGGTTATATCTACTGTACATACTGTATCTAGCTTACAGGAGTTGTAGCAGTTTTAGGATGTTGTGGTGGGCTTGTCCCATTAAAAAAAAGGAGTATGCTTAGATAAATGTGAGCCTTTTAACCCTTTAACCGCCGACAACGTAATATTACGGTTTTCGAAAGCTGTGTCCGAATCGCCACATACGTACAATCACGTTATTTTATTAAAAATCTTCTTATAGTGCACAAACTCCATATAAATTGTGTCAATTTCAAGATGTAGGGTATAATCTTTATTGTTATGGATATTTCTCAATGTTTTGAGTGATAAATACTGTGAAATTTGAGGTTTAATTAAATTGTGGTCACCGTCTCCATTATCTGTATCGCCAATCACGTAATTTTACGAGTACTAGGGATGGGGCGAATTCGAAAAATACTTAATAGGTTGTCTAAGAACAAACAAGGCACTATAGATATTACTGTCACTATTTGCAATGAAAGTGTATACTTTCATTAGAAAATAACCATAGTGTTACTTTGATGCAAGTATTTGTACTAATTAA